GCCCACCGGGTTGGTGCCATTTTATCTTTTGGCCCCAACGGGTTACAGAGGAAGCCCCTTCCCAGCCTCTTCCCCTCTTTTTCCTCTTCCCTTCCCATCTCCATCTAGGCGGGAGGTGACTGCCCGCCCGAGGGAAGGTCTGAAGTCAAAGTCGGGCGGCGGGACCGGAGATTGGTGGCCGGGGGCCTTGAGGCAATGGGGTGGGGGGGTGGGGGGTGGCAGGGGAAGACCGAACATCCGCGAAGCAGGGCCAGGGCTACCGATCCAAAGGTGACCGCCTCTTCATAGGGATTCAGCACTTACTGAGCGCCTCCGGAGCACAGACCCAGGCTGGGTGTCAGGGCGGTGTTGAGAGGCGATAGATTTGAATGGAGACGGGCTTGTCCCACCTAGAGGAGCTCCCAGCCTGAAGGCGGAGACGTGGTAAAATGATCTTCCTCAGGAACTGATAGTAGAACAAAGATGCTTTAGATTTTTTTTTTTTTTTTTTTTTTTTTTTTTTTTTTTCTGTTTCCTTGTGTTTTTTGTTTCTCTCTCTCCTGATAATGGTGCTGCTGCTGCTGCTTTGGTTTTGTTTTTTGTTTTTGTTTTTGTTTTTGTTTTTTTTCTTTTATACATTCAGGAACAAGGCGGCATAAAGAAAAGGGGAAGGATAGAGAGGAATGGGAAAAGATGGGCCATGGCCCCCACAGACATTTTCCTTAGGATATGAAAATTGCCTGATACTGAAGGTGCTAGGGCTCTTGAGCACGGCATGCATTATATTCCTTGTCTCGTGATCACACCTTCCTGAAATACTCTACGTTGGTCTCAGAGAAAGAGCAAGGCTCCGACCAAACAGTGATGCAGAATCCAGCCACTCATTTTTTACCTTCATGTTTTCCTGTTTTTTCCCTTTCATTTCTCTCCACCCCCTACCCAAGTAAGCGGTGTGAAGATGATACAGGAAAGTAATGAAGTGGCCACTTTCTAGAAGTGTCTGAGCAGATTCTTGACCACTCAGGTGGGGAGAGGCAGAGAGAACATAGTAACGCAACTCTAGCCTCACTGAAAAGAAGCTCTTTACCTTTCTCAATTTCTCAAGATTCTGAGGCCAAGAGGTACATATAAATACGCAATTCTCTGATCGAGAAGGCTAGAATAAATGCAGGGGTTTTTTTTAAACAGGCCCTCAGGAAAATAACTTGAGAGTTTTCGAAAGTATCTTTTTGTGTGTTGGGGGGAGGGATTCTTTTGCCCTCATCCCCTTCTCTTTATTTTTTTTTAATTTGCTATAGAGCTTATGCATTGGGGGTGGGGGAGTACCTCCACAAGGGATGTGACTACAGAACAATCCCTTTTCCTCCATTCACACTGCAATGCCCTCTCCTCAATTCTCTTGAAATTTTTGGTATAGGGCATGTGCACTCGCCAGAGAGACAAAAAGCTAGAAATCACACCTCCCCCCCAGGGGGCTGCAAGCCCTTCTCTTGGGATCTTGGGCACGCACACATACACACTTGGCATGAGTTAAAGCCACCAAGTCCAGGACTCGAACTGCGGTCGACTATGTGGGAGTCTAGGGACATAATCATTATGCCATCTGCTGGTCCACTTCTCTTGGATTTTTCAAACCACCAGGTTGGGGACTAGAACCATACAGTTTGTCCTGTGGGATCCCTCCACCTTAACCACTATACCACCTAGCTGCCCCCTCCCCCACTTATCCTTTGGTCTTTGAGCCAGAGAATTATTTTTCCAAAAGCCATCTGAAGCATGTCAGGTGTAACAGCCTGACCAGAAGCCAGGAATCTCTGTGCCTCAGTTTCCATTCAGGAAGAATTATTACCACCCGTCACTACAGATGGGTATGGCTGGACTCAGGGCTCTGGAGCAGGAGTCCTTGGAAAGTACCATACTGGGGCTGTCTTGGAGGGGTCTTGAAACATGGAGGAAATAGAGAGAGATGTTCCTGGCTGCTCTCTGGCCCCAGCTGCCTCAGAGCCCCTAGACCACCTTGATGACCCCATTCTCATAGGCACTCCAGAGACACTTAACTTTGGGAACTTGTTCCTTCCCTGTGTTTACAGCCTCAGCTTGCTTGCTTGCTTTTCTTTTTTTTTTTTTTAATTTTGACAGAGGGCACATGAGCTGGCTGGAGACAGAGAGTAAGAAAGCATCCCCACCACCACCACCACCATGGAGAAAGGTTAAGCAGCAATCCCTTCTCCGTTTCTCCCTCCTTTTGGGATTGTGGGCATGTACATACTTATGTGTGCCTGTTTCTTAAGCCACTGGGTTTGGGACTTCAGCCACAGTCAACCATAGGGGATCCAGCCACCTCAGTTAACCACCATGCCACCAGCTGGTCCCTTTCCTTTTGTTTTTTTAAGTTTACTTTTTTTGTCCCATGAGAGAGAGCTGAAGAAAGAAGAGAGATAAAGGGAGAGGAGCACCCCCAACAGGACCTTCACATCACAATCTACCCCTCCAGCCTCAGGCAGCCGGGACCACCAGCGCTGGTGTTCATACCCAGCCTGTACAAGGATGTGAATCCAGTACATTCCCATGTGGGAATTATGGAGCATTGTGTTGCCGCTGTGCTACTGAGGCTGGCTCAGCCTCCAGCTTTCTAGGTTTTCCTTATCCTGGCTTCTTCCCACATTCTCCCAGATCCCGTGTAGGCTCCAGCTCCCCAGCCCGGATGCTAGTGGCCCATGGAGACAGTGTGCTTACCCAGGGACACTCCTGCCTCAGAACCAGGAATGGAGCCATTCCCCACCCCCAACTTGGGCTTGGAAATCACTTGCACAAGCAAATAGTCATATGTGTCCCCTCCTGGTCACGGAGGTAGCTGGCTCCCTGGGCAGTACCTGTCTAAATGGAATACCTTTCCTGCCTCAGGAAAAGATGTAACTCACTCTCCTTCTTCTGTTCAGGTGATCTCTGGTCTTGAGTTTAACCATGTCACCATCATTGCCTTGTAGCTGTGGGTGTTGCCCTGCTTTGGGCTTTACTCGTGCTTTAGTAGTCCATGAAACCTTTTGTCCTTATCACTTCTCTCTCACATACAGCATCGCAGCTCCAGCTGGCAGCACCACCTCCCACCGATTTATCCACCTTCTGCCAAGGCTCTGAAATGCCAACTATGTCAAGGCCTGCACTCGACGTCAAAGGTGGCACCTCACCTGTGAAGGAGGTAACTGTTGCCATTTTACAGGTGAAGACACTGAGGCATAGAAAGACACACTTTCCTGGAGTCATGTATCTAGTGTCCTTGAGCAGAAAAGAGAGATCAAGACTTTCTCTGGGTGGGAATGAGAGTAGCTTCCACCTATATCTGGTCAAGTGGAACCTGCTAGGGGTGTTGAAAGATGGCGAGGAAGAAAGCAGAGAAGAGGGAAGAGGGAAGCAGATGCTCTTTTAGAATGTGAGGTGGAAGATTAGGAGCAGGAGATGAAAGCAGCGACCCCACTTAGGATAGCAGGTGCCCAGCACCAGAACAGGGGTCAGACTCGGTGCTTGAGCTGGCAAAAGGCTACTTGAGCTGGGAGCCTAACTTTCCAGGGGCGCCTGTTACTATCTCCCCACCTCTAAGCCCAAAGGAAGTGCATGTAGGAGCCCTCTGGGTGTGATGACTGGTGAGGCACGTGCCGGGAGCAGGAGTGCAGTGCTGTGCCTTTCTCTGTTTTACAGGATGCCAACCAAGAGCTGAGCTCGCTGGCTTACTCTAACCTGGGCATGAAAGATCGCAAAGCAGTGGCCATTCTGCACTACCCTGGGGTAGCCGCAAATGGAACCAAGGCCAGTGGGGCTCCCACTAGTTCCTCCGGATCTCCATCTCCAATAGGCTCTCCTACTGCCACCCCTCCCCTGTGCCTTTCTCTGTTTTACAGGATGCCAACCAAGAGCTGAGCTCGCTGGCTTACTCTAACCTGGGCATGAAAGATCGCAAAGCAGTGGCCATTCTGCACTACCCTGGGGTAGCCGCAAATGGAACCAAGGCCAGTGGGGCTCCCACTAGTTCCTCCGGATCTCCATCTCCAATAGGCTCTCCTACTGCCACCCCTCCCAGTAAAGCCCCCCCCTTCAACCTGCACCCTGCCCCTCACTTGCTGGCCAGCATGCAGCTGCAGAAACTTAATAGCCAGTTGGGGCCTCGGGGGGGAGGGGCGGGCCCCCTCTCTCCCCCTGCCAGTGCCCAGAGCCCTGCTATCATCGATTCGGACCCGGTGGATGAGGAGGTGCTGATGTCGCTGGTGGTGGAACTGGGACTGGACCGAGCCAATGAGCTTCCGGAGCTGGGGCTGGGGGGAGATGAATGAGCTTCCGGAGCTGTGGCTGGGGCAGAATGAGTTTGACTTCACTGCGGACTTTCCATCTGGTTGCTGATGCCAAGTACCCCTAAAGATGGAGGAATAAAGCCACCAATTCTGTTGTAAATAAAAATAAAAGTTACTTGCAAAGAGATGGGCCTACCGAAGTTGTCTTTGATTGAGGCCTAAAGGTGTGTCTAAAGGTGTGTAATGTAGTCTGATATCCTTTTAGCAACTCTGAGGCCCATAGTGGGGCTGCAGGGTCTAGCTGGGAGGGAGCTGGGTGGGATGGGAGCAGTGGAGAGGGCTGGAGGGAGACTGTTCTCTGAATTTCTGTTGCTACACTGCTGCCATTACCTCCTCAGGAGTCCAGTGAGCGCCTAGCCTCATTGCCTTAAGACCTCTCAGAATACCATCCTATCCAAGGTTAAATGTATACAGGGTCATTCTTGGGAGAGAGACTGATCCAGACCCTTCTGTAGCTTCCTCACCACTTCCAAGTCTAAAGACATATCCATGGCACACACTTCACTCACCCACTCTCTGGCTCCAGTCCCACTGAGCCACTGAGACCATCCTTTACCCATTTGTCTGTGTGTGGCAAATAGGGCCTAAGAAAGATCTTATGACTTGGGGGTTCAGCATTCTCTAGAAAATGGCAAGAGCTATCAGTAGACTCCCATCATAAACTGAGGTTCCAGGAGCCTTCTTTTTTATTTTTATTATTTTCATTTTTGTATTTGCTATAGAGCACATGTGCTCACCAGAGAGAGAGTAGGAAAGTGAAAGAGTACATGCCAGGATGGGGTGACGTAGCCACAGTGTTTTCTCCATTCTCCTCGGGATTTGTGGTGCACACACATGCACACCTGGTGGTTTCTTCAATCCTCCGGGTCCATGACTCAAACTGGATAATCAGGCCTTGTGAGATCCAGTCGCCTTCACCACCATGGAACCAGTTGTCCCTCCAGGTGCTTTCTTTAAAGCCCCTCAGACAGCTGCTCAGCCCCTCCCTCCAAGCCTGGGACACTTCGAGTTTCCCAGGAGTCTGAGTGTCCCCTAGTCCACCCTATTGATTTGAGCTGGCCGCCTTAGAAATAAAGATCAGAAAAATAAATAAATAAATAAAGATCACGACCAGGCTTGACAAATTCAATGTTTGGGGGTACATCCCTTGCCTTTTAACTGCTGAGGAGGCTATGACTTCCAAAGCATGCCAAAGAACAGGAAAGTGGCACACTATCCTGGCCTTGTCCCGATGGAGCTTTGTTCTCGTGTTGACACAACCCAAGGACCTAGAGACTCCAGTTCACATCTCAGACTCCCAGGGACATTCTTCCTTGAACACAAAAAATAAAAAACTCTAATCAGCCTGACAGGACAGCATCAGGCCTACCCCACAAAGAGCACTTTCAAAAGAGTTTGCTAGAGGGACCAGCAGTTAGTGTAATGGCTATGTCGCTGGACTCCCATGTAGTCGACTGCAGTTTCGAGTCCTGGACCTGGTGGCTTAAACTCATGCCGGGCGCGCGTGCGTACGTGCCCAAGATCCCAAGAGGAGAATGGAGGAGAAGGGATTACAGCGTGGCCATCCCCCCTGGCGGGGTGATTTCTCACTTTCTGTCTCTCTGTCTCTCTCTGTCTTTCTGGCGAGCTCACACACCCTATAGCAAAAACCTCTCCGAATAAATAAATAAATAAATAAATAAAAAGAGTTCACTAGAAAAGGCGCTTTGTTGGGAGTTGAGATTCCTTGAGAACGTGCTCTGGGCCAGGTACTTTGCTAGACACTAGCAGTGTGAATGCAATAAAGTCTGTACCTTGGATGGGATTGCCCTCTTAGAGGAGGAACGACAGGCACGAACAAATTATAATAAAACAGTGTTTCCTTAGAACACAGGGAGAAGGTGTGATTTGAGCCCAGAAAAGGAAACAGCTCCATCTGCCTAGGAAGTCTGAGGAAGGCTTCCTGGTATTGAACTGGCTTGTTTGTTTTTGTATCTCACAAGTAATAAATACATGACACAATCTCCTTGTAATAGGTAGAAATAAGTAGCCTCACAGATAAGGCTAACATACCCTTTGACCAACTATCTCCCTCAATCCGGATCACCTCACCTCTAGGATCACCTCTAGTCCTCCACAGAGATAGCAACCATTTATCTGATTGTGATCCATCCTTGCAGGCCTTGTGCTTTTCCATAAAGATATACCTAGCAATGGAAAGAACTGGGTTCTAAATAGGACTTGAGTCAGCCAAGGAGAGACAGAGTGAGGGGAACAGCTGTGGGGGGGGATGAGTCTGAAGAAACTTGCAAGAGGCGGAGTACACAGGGCCTTCTGGGAGCGTGCCTTTATCCTTGGGGCCAAGTCCTCTGGCTCGTGAAGAATCTCTGAAGGTTTGTAAGAAAGCAAATAATTAACCTACTGAGTTTTAGGATGATCCCACTGAAGGTGAATGGTTAGATTTATCTAAACAAGGAGACGTGGAGTTTTGAGGGAGTTGGTGAGGCAGGGGTAGGAAAACAGACAGAGAAGAAAGGACGCCTGCAAGGTCAAAAAAGCAGGGCAGGCTTGAGGGCCTGGAGTCTGAGAAGAACAGGATTGGGGAAGGCAGGACATGAAGGAGAGGAGAGAAGCTGCAGTCAGTAACTGAGTCTCGGAATCTATCCTCCTCACAGTAACCCCGGACTGGAGGTGGGGTCGAAAGCAGAATGGCAAGAAGTGGAAGGAGCCAAGATCCTAAAAGACTGGAGACCCCTGGATCCCTACTCTACCTGAGTCTCAGACACAGCAGCTTGAAACACTCAGGGCACGTGTGCGTGCATGCCTAACATTCTGGGAGGAGACTGGAGGAGAAGAGATTGTGGTGTGGCCATCTCCCCTAGGGAGTGATTTCTGGCTTTCTCTCTGTCTCTCTGGTGAGCATACATGCCCTATAGCAAAAAAATAAAAAAAAAACTCTCAAAAATAAATAAGTGGGGACCAGTAGATGGTATAATGGTTACGTTGCTGAACTCCCATGTAGTTGACCACGGTTCGAGTCTGAGACCTGGCGGCTCAAAACATGCTGGGTGCATGTGCATAGGTGCCCAAAATCCCAAGATCAGAATGAAGGAGAAGGTATTGCAGGGTAGCCATCCCCCTAGGCGGTGACTTTGTGCTTTCTGTCTCTCTGTCTCTCCAGCGAGTTCACGAGCCCTAAAGCAAAACTCTCTTGAAAGAAAGAAAAAGAAAGAGTAGGTTTAAACAGCTAAATCCCACATGGCCAATAGAATGGTTTGAGTCCCAGACCCAGTGGCTTAAAAATTATTCAGGACACGTGTGTGTGCATACCCAAAATCCCGAGAAGAGAATAGGAAAGGGATTATGACGTGGCCATCACCCAGGAGGTGATTTGTCACTTTCCCTCTCTCTCCCCGTCTCCCTTTCTCTCTCTCTGATGAGCACATGCACCCTAGAGCAAAAAAATAAAAGTACATGGGACCAGCAGTTAGCGTAATGGTTATGTCACTGGACTCCCACATAGTTAACCGCAGTTCAAGTCCTGGACCCAGTGGCTTAAAAATTATTCAGGACACGTGTGTGTGCATACCCAAAATCCCGAGAAGAGAATAGGAAAGGGATTATGACGTGGCCATCACCCAGGAGGTGATTTGTCACTTTCCCTCTCTCTCCCCGTCTCCCTTTCTCTCTCTCTGATGAGCACATGCACCCTAGAGCAAAAAACCTCTCCAAAAAAATAAAAAATAAATAAAATAAGTAAAAGTACGCATTTATTTTAGTATGAAAATTTTTGAAATCCATGCATAGTTGTTCCATTTTTCTTTTATTTTAAAATTTGCCACAAGGCACATGCTCTTGCCAGAGTGAAACACATACACATGAGAGGATGAGAAAGCACCCCTTAAAGGGATGGCCATGCTACAATCCCTTCTTCTCCATTCTCTTCTCAGGATTTTACACATACACACACACACACACACACACACACACACACACAGGTCCAGTGCATCTTTCAAGCGGCTAGGTCCAGGACTCAAACCACAGTCGGCCATGTGGGATCCAACCACCTTAATCATTGCGCCACAAGCTGGCCCAGTGTTTTTTATAATATGCATTTTCCATAAGATTTTTGGAGACTCCCCTCATATATAATAGAAATTGGGGGACCAGCAGATGGCGTAATAGTTACATTGCTGGACTCCCACGTATTCAACCACGTTTCAAGTCCTGGACCCGGTGTCTTAAACCTCACACCGGGTGCATGTGTGCACGTGCCCAAGATCCCGAGAGGAGAATGGAGGAGAAGGGATTGCGATGTAGCCATACCCCCGGGGAGTGATTTCTCACTTTCTGTTTCTCTGTCCCTCTCTTTCTCTCCGGCAAACGCTTGCATCCTATAGCAAAAATCTCTTAAAAAAAAAAAAAAGAGAGAGAGAGAGAGAGAGAGAGAGAGAAAATGATTCATAAGATTTTGGAGACTGAGGGTCCCATAATCTCCTGAGTGCAAGCTGGAGGACCAGGAAAGTCCTGAGAAGGGGATAGGAGGTAGTGATAGCATAAGGCCCAGTTTGAGTCTGATGGTCCAAGAACCAGGTACACCAATATCTAAGGGCGGGAGAAGATGAAGTCCCAGATCAGATGGAAACAAATTCACCCTTCCCCTACCTTTTTGTTCTACTTAAGCTCTCAACAGATTGTATCCAACCCACACTGGGGAAGGCAGAGGTTCTTTAGGCAGTCTACCAATTCAAATGCTAATCTCTTCTAGAAACACCCTCCTAGACACACCCAGAAATAATGCTTTACTGGCTATCTGGGCATCCCTTAGCCCAGTCAAGTTGATACATAAAATTAACTATATCATACCTGAAAAAGGTGCTTCTGAATGAGAAGAGCAGAAACTTTTTGGAATGGCAACCCTGCCTCCTGGTGCTAGTGGCTAGAAGTGTGACCAATTTCCTCTCTAGAAACTCAGAGGGAGATGAAGGTAAGGGGCAGCCTCC